GAAGAATACTTTTACATAAATGTTATACTCACCATTGTAGGTTTTAGTATTTATAAAGCTTACTTTTGTAGTAATAATTGGTCAAATGAATTTAACATTTTAAAACTGTTTAAAACAGAATTTGAAATAATTTATCAATACTTTAAATACAAGAAGACAAAGTTATTTTTTTTGACAAAATACTACAAATTTTAAAAGATATATACTAACCTTTAGATAGTTTCAAGCTTTTTTCACTTTGTGTGTTTATGTACGTTGTAACTCTAATACATATGAATATCTCAAATTGAATTTGTTAAATTATGTCATTGTATATATGTATAATTATGTATAATTATGTATAATATTTGTGAATAAAAAAAAATCCTTAAAAAAAGATCTAGAGAACGAGTGAAAATATAATATTTGGTTATCAAGAGCGAAATATATTTCCAATATTTTTACTTGTTTTGCCGCTTAACGGCATGCGTTCTTCTTCATGACGTCATTACATCATGACGTCACCGAACCAATGTTGAAATTTAGTTCTGAAAATTTCTCGAATTTTGTTACATTTTTAACTTAAAGGCACATTATGCCCCAGAAATCCATATTTATTATTTTTTTTAGAAATGTCAAACATGTGTTTTATAATATTTAAATAATTGATTTAGGGTATGTAAGATGTTTCACAGCTGAAAACAGTAGCGCTGATTGTACAGTAATGAGTCGTAAATGTAGCAAACAATGTAGTATTTTGACTTCGGGATCATTGATGCCAGCATTATTAAGTGCTGAGAATTGAGTACCGCTCAGGCCGGTGCTATAGGGCCGATAGTAGCTGTAAAGAGTTGCCCCGTGCTTTACATCAGTGTTGTTATATTTTTCTGGTCCTTCGGAATCATTGATGACAGCACTATTAAGTGTTAAGAATTGAGTAGCGCTCAAGCCGGTGCTAGGGGGGCTTGAGGGATGTTGCACTTAATCATTATCCCTAATGTACAGACTCAATCAAACCTCTGCGATTTTCATCTAATTTTGTTGTGATTAATGCTTCATAGGGATCACATTATTTCAAGATTTCCATACCGTATACATATTCACTGTAATTATACCAATTGCCAAAAAGTAAAGGGAGCAAAACAAATTCATCTTTATGGCAAATTAGTATTTTTTGGAAACTGTAACAAGATACCAAAAATAAAAAGGTTTTGAGAAATAAAAATTATAGCATTTCTGAGGCATAACGGGCCTTTAAATAATGTATGCAGTTATTTACTTGCTTCTCCTAAAAAGCAAAATTTACAAACGACGGAATTTATCCGTGTTGTTAATTTCATTTAGTTATGAAATATTATTTTCAAATATAGACCGACTACAGTTAAAATCATCAAATATATTTTTACTTTGAAAATTATCAAATATAATTTCACCACTGCAAAGACATCTTTTACCTTTCATAATGACACTTTTGTACATATCCTGCACAAATTTTGGCAATTATTTTAGTCGATAGCAAAATGTCTTTCAAGTTTTTTTAATAATTATATTTGGGTACTTTGGAATGTAACTTGAAATTGCAAAAGAAAAAAAGCTTCATAACAAGAATTACAAGTTTCATCCTACTTCATGGATCACATACATGTACACATTTTGTTCTTCATTCAACACGTTGAAATAATGATTTTTTATCTTATGTAATATGATAAACAAGATCAACAAGGAAATGAGGTGTTCAATGAACGCAAGTTCCCCATACGATCCAGCAACAAGTGCCAGTGGCAAGGAACAGAGGAGGACCCAAAACAAAAACAGGTCAGGGCAAAAGGCAGGTTAATCACTAAAATCATACATGAGTAACTGATGAAATGCTTATTGTGCAAACGATTTAATCTTTTGAAGACGATCATGTGAACAAGTTTCTATTTTAATAAACACTCATCGTCGGATACCCACGATTGATAAACATGTCACATAACATGCAATCAACCGTGGGTAAAATGAATCGATTTGCGTCGATATACAGCAACAGGTGTGTAAAATATCTACCAATAACATCGCGTTTAACAAATCTATATTCTTCAACAGCGGAGGTAAAAAACAATAAGAAACAAAATGGCAGCGGCCCCACGGTTAAAAACGTACGTGTCTTGCTAAAATCAATGGCAAAAACTATCGCCAAATCAGTTCTTCTGCAAGCAGATATCAATCAGAAAGGATAACCTCACGCTGTAAAAGTAAATTATCTATACCCTTGCTGGAAAATCGTTTAATTTTTCGATGTTGAACTTTTCACGTCGTCTATGGTTGTCGCAATATTGTCTGTAATACCGAACGTCGTACAGAACGAACGTTTGATTGGTTTTAATCGCCTCATGAAATCGTGAGGCAACCAATGAAATAGCTGCCTTTGACACACCTCTAATCGACTGAATATCGGCCAAAAATCCCACGGCTGATAAATGTTAATGGTTCGGCCGTGGGTATCCGACGATGATAAACACTATGGTGGCAGATTAGTAAACCAGCTTAACAATACTTCATTAAAATATTAACACGATATATACTTTAAAAAGCTAATAAAAGGATATTGTCTACAAATGTGTTACCAGATAAAGACGTGTTTAAATTATCCGACATCTGAAAAAAAATACAATCTAATAATATTGTCACGGTCTAGGCCGTGAGGTAAAAACCTTCGGTAGTGTGGTCTCTCAGTAGAGGTTTATTTGCGTAGTCTGTAAAGGGAGTTGATTGGTTCCACACAGTTTACTTCTATAGTAATTACTATTTTATATCTACTTTGCTCACCTATAATTTTAACGGAAACCTAGCTCTACATAGATAAATAAATTCTCTATAACCATTTAAACACTGTTTATTCCAGTAGTATATTGCAAGTTTATTTTGTTTATAAAACAAAGTTACAATAACAAAATAATAAATTGTCAACAAATGAGCACAATTGTATTTTTATCATTCAGCAACAGATTCTATACGATAATGTATTAATAAGTAAAAGTTTGTAGTAGAAATCATCAGAGTTTCAAGTCCTATTAATGTTAAAACCGTTTTCTAAATTATATCTCCCTTAATTTAATGTATCTTAATGTCTAACGCGTGTACCTTCTTTAATAGTCAACACGGAAAAATAGCGTACCAGTGAACCGTGACCAAATTTAACAAGCAGTTAAATAATCTATTTCAAACAGTAAAGTGTTAATAAAAAACGTGTAATAAAGATTAAATATCTAGAAAATAGCTCAGAACTGTTAAATCTGAATAAATAAATCGTTATTTATCAAGAATAGTTTAATTACTTTAGTACGTAAAATTGCAGACGGCACTTATAAATTTTCCGCTCAAATTTGTATCTCAACAAAACGGGGTTTTGCCTCTGAAGTTCTGATCCAGACTGAGCTGTTCAACCAAAAATCCGGGCCCTTTTATACCCAGACAAATCCCAACCAAAATAAATTGGTTGAAGTGGTTGGTTTACAAAAGTGGTTGTGGTTGGAGCCAAAAAGTGGTTGGTCCGACCAAGAAATATTGGTTGATTTACCAAAACGGTTAGAAATTTAAACATAGACTCTTAGACCTATGAAATAATAAAAATGGACATAGACATTTTGTTACAAATATTACGGCATTATCTTAAACAAGTTATACCTTTTCAATGAAGAAAATACACAAAAATCCGATCGCAGAATTTCGTCAATAAATTAGCTGTAGCCGGTCGTCCTTAGTAACGTACCGGAAACAGTTCAAAATGGCATCATGAAACGAAAGTGGGAGCACGTTTTTCTAAGAAAACGGATCATAACTACAAAAATACATGGAATTAAACATTGTTACTTGGCAAAACAGTGACTTATATAATTATCAAACAATAACAATAGGAATTATAATCACAGGTAACGAGTGAAAGTGACAATTCCCCTCAGAAGTTAGATTGAGCTGCACATCGTGAAAATGGAGGATAAACAAGCAAAACATGTGGGATAAAAAGGATAGATAAAATCTGGCTCATAACCCGTATACATGGGTTGGTGTTTTGATTTCTAGTAAAACACAGCTCATTATAAGTTTTATGGCTAGAAAATGTCAACATATCCTCACTATTAAAGATTACAAGAAAAGTAATTTCTCAAGTTCAAGTCAATTAAGGTAAGGAGTTGAGTTCATGCAGTTCAGTTATGTTACAGTTATAGTTGAAAATTTCAGATCACTACAATATTCTAACATCGGAAGACAAAACACGAAAATTAAGAGAAAAAAACTTCGCCCCGCGTAGGCGCGAAGCGAGATTTACGAAATAAAACGGAGGAGGCGCGAGACGATAACATGTTAATTAGCGGGTATGCGGGGCAAAGTTTTAGAAATTAAAACGTCGCACCGCTTGTGCGGGAGCGAGAATTAAGAAATACAACGGCGGGGAAAACACGCTAATTAGCGGGGGCGCCAAAGAAATAAAAAGAATGGATAAAAACGACGGGGATGCGAATCCAAAACACGGTAATGAGTGGGCCAGCGGGGCGAAAAAACGAGATTTTAACTACAAAAACCGCAGAGGCCCGGAGCGTAAAAGGGAAGGTTTTGTAAGATAATTTGGCAGGGGCGCGAACAACAGCACGTTAATAAGCGCCCTATAACACTTATAACTGATAAGCGTATTTTAGCTCCGCGCCCCGCCATTATAAATTGATAAATTTTAACTTTTCGCTTGGCGGGTTCGCGGGGCAAAAACACGAATTGCACAAATCAGCCACCATAGTGTAACATTAAAATAAAGACTTGAAAACATGATCGTCTTCAAAAGATAAAATAGCTTGCACAATAAGCATTTTTGTAACAAATATAAAACAATTGATCTGATTAAGTCGGTGACAAAAATGTCTTATTACAATGTAAATAGATCAGGTCGTCTTTTAAATCATAAAACTTGCCAAAATAAAATCGATTTTTATATACAAATTAAAATATATATCCCAATATAATTTAAGTCTACAAAATAAATTTGATAGGCTTATCTTTAAACTGATAGGGTAGTTTGTTTTGTTTTGATACTTATTTCATACAGCGCAACATGAAAATAACTGGACACTCCTTACTTTATGAAATGATAAAACTACTGAGCTTTTCAAACAGGTTTAAATGGATATATTAACACAGGTTAAAAATGAATAATCAAACTACGGAACGTATTAAGGAATCGTTGGTTTCCTCCAATCCCCGTGGTGCCTCTGGAAGCGACTTGTTAAGTGTTCGAGGTCCTAATTCTAAAGACGAGTCCGATCTTCTTAGTGCAGTAAAAACCAACGACGACAGCGAATCGACGTTAAGTGTTCGAGGTCCTAATTCTAAAGACGAGTCAGATCTTCTTAGTGCATTAAAAATCAAAGACGACAGCGAATCTCTGGCGGAAATCTCGTTTGCAGGGGACGATGATGAAAATATAAAGGATCCATGTGCAGTTTGTTTTACCAATCGTAATTTTTCAAGGAAAGCTACTCATTTTTGTAATGATTGTGGACTTTTGGGACATTTTTTGTGCGAACAGTGTTTGGGCTTTCACAAGACGTTTACCAACCACAAGTCTGTTAAATCATTCGTGGCAGCAAAATACAAAAGAGGGTATGTTAAATCTTTAAATTACCTTCTTAGATTTTACTAGGATTCTTAATTTTATAAGATATCCGGTGTTTTTGTCCATTTTTCTGTCTGTTCTATTGTATCATTGCCTATACAGGCCATGTCTTATTTAACATTATGCAATACAAAGTAAAGGTAAAATTAAACGAATGTATAAACAATGTATTTAACCACAGTCACATTCACCACCATCGATCCAGTGGATGTCAGATTCATAGTTAAAAAAAACTTTGCTTTAATGTAAGACAACCCTAATGGGCACTACAAGGAATTGAGAAATTGACAACATAGGTCAGTCAGATGCCTTTAAAACATGCATGCAAAACTTCATTGATTCTTTACCGTACTGTTAATGAGTTATGGACATTTTTCTGAATAAAATATTAGATGATAGAAGGGCTCTTTATAAGAAATAAGAGAATTCTAAATAGTCTATAAATCATACTTATGAACAATATTTTTCCTATAGATAATAACTAAAAACAAATAATAATATTCAGTTTATAAATGAATGAAGCCCAACAAATATTTCATTTCTTTTCAAAACAAACGTTTTTAGTACAGTTGAGACCGTCTTAATGAATCCTTGTTTGTCACCCTATTATTTTCCTACCGAAGTATATGGCATTATAATTGCCAATCGGTATGTCCGTAGCGACTCCGGTTTAACGACACAATATTTACTCCCAAATCGGTAGTTTAAACCTATATAACGATTTTTAGGAGAATTATAAGTGGAACACGATAACGTTTGCACCACTCGGTCGCACAATATTTATATATGGGTTATTCAAGTTCTTTAATGATTACATTTTGCATTTTTATTGCAATATAGAAAAATAAAAGTGGATATAGACACGCAAGTCCTAGTAGCGTAAAGAGTTCAGGTTATGAAGATCTCAGGTTATGATCATGGTTTTCCGAGTTCAAATCTGCAATTGTGCACATTTTTAAGTATGGGATTTAATTTCAGAATATACATAGTGTGTCACGTAACTTTTCAATTTCTCTTTTATAATGTTTTGCAAAATTTAAAGATAAACTTATGACGGTTAGGCATTGCATTAATTGAATGTATTTGATTATAATTTAGCTGTCATCGGTAGTTTAAACCTATATAACGATTTTTAGGAGACTTATAAAGCGAACACGATCACGTTTGCATTAATCGGTCGTATCATTAATGATTCCATTTTGTATTTTATTGCAATATAGAAAAATAAAGTGGATATAGACACGCAAGTCCTTGTAGCGTAGAGAGTTCAGGTTATGAAGATCTCAGGTTATAATCATGGTTTTCCGAATTAAAATCTGCAATTGTGCACATTTTTAAGTATGGGATTTAATTTCAGAATATACATAGTGTGTCACGTAACTTTTCAATTTCCCTTTTATAATGTTTTGCACAATTTAAAGATAAACTTATGACGGTTAAGCATTGAATTAATTGAATGTATTTGATTATAATTTAGCTGTCATTAAACAGATCGAATAGTATTATCAATTTATACTGTTTGAAACTCTGAATTCCATTCGCCACATTGAAAACAACATTTGGCTAATTTGTATATTATATAATTATATTTTTTCTTTCATTGCTCATTTATCACCATAAAAGTGAATTTACACTATTGATAACATTATTTATTTTAACATGAAACTACCTATTATGTGATCATGACTCGGAAAACCCAACTGAATATAAAGCTTTATATTGAATGTATGATAGAGAAACATTTATTTCACTTTTGGGTATATTAATCCAAAACCCCATGATCATTATTCTCTATCCTGCTTTGCATATGGTCATTGTTAAATCATTAATATGAAAAAATAGCACAATAAAGATCGTTTTCATATACAGTTTTGACTGTCATGTGAGTCTTTTCAAGGGAACTTCTTAAAAGGTCACATATGACAGGGAGTCATTTTGAACAGTCTCAAAAAAAAAAACAAAAAAAAAACAAACAAACAAAACATCTATATACCATTGTGACTTACATAACTGTGTGAAGAAACAATATTTTACCAATTTCAAATAAACATAGGTTCTTTTAAAAGTTTAAATATTTGATGTAAATTAAATAAGAATCATTGTAAAACGAATATAATCACATGTATATCATGAAAAATTTAATTATGTTTTTTGTATAATATTTATATTGAATCATTATGGTACAAATAAACTTGAATTTGATGCATTAAAATAAACATCATACGTAAAAACATATCCATATCAAACGTTTTTCTCTTAAAATTAAAGGCCTGGAACCAGCATTTCCGGTAATATTTTTGCCATAGAAATGTGAATTAAAAAATGAATGCTGCCTTAAAAGATCTTCCATTAGCACACCATCAACATTAAAAAAAATCTGACACAAATCTGAATCCAGTTTGCTTGAGTCAGTATGTACATTACACCTCAATTTGATAACGCATTGATTGCATCATGCTTACGAGTAGGGAGTACACTCTACGTCACTTGTAACCTGTTTACATGTAATCCGTGTAATTGAAGCACTGTTATGTTTTTAGAGTGTTGACTACTGGATAATAATCGGATCCTCTGAGTGTTAAAACAGGTATTATTTATTTGATAAACGGACAATTAAAAGGTGGGAAAGTCGCTTAAATCAGACCAGTAAATTAGGGTCGCTTGTAACAAATAAGAGGGAGTCGTGTGTATGTGTACGTGCGTGCGTGCGTGTTTATTTATACTAGCCACCGGTTGCCCTCATGGGCTAGTCCTCCAGAAGAGTATTAGTCATTTTATATTTTGGAGGAAAGTGCAAGATACAGATACAGAAAGATGCCCCAATTCCAGAAGCTTCCCGTGGTCCTTTAACGTGCCAAGTGTTTAAACACTCATACACGGGACCTCGATTTAAAGTCTTATCCGAAAGACTGATTTGTTATTTTAGGTGGCCAGCCCGGGAATAGAACCCACAATGTCGAGATTACAAGTCTCTAACCGATTGAGCTATGCAGGCTGGCATAGGGAGTCGTATAGTTCAGACCATTTATATAGGACTGAAACAATGTTAGATAAGACAGGGAGGTGTTTTAAGCTGTTCGGTCGCTTAGACATTCTCGACTGTATCTGCATAAAGAGTGTAACTTAATCAGAAACCTGAGCAATTCCAACCAAAATATACAAAGTAATAGGTACAAATATTACTTAAACAATTCTGTACAAAAAAGAACCGACGCACAGAAACAGTTGGACGTCGAGAGTGGTAATAAAAAGAGAACAGAGTCTCGGTAAGAGACTGAAATGTATGTAAAGGTTTTACAAGTATCTTAACGTTTAGAAGATGTTTTGATATTGATTGTAGCATATAAAAACAGCTAAATTAAAATAAAAGCATTTATCCTTGTAACAAAATAGAGTGAAATAAGAATCGCCCCAAAGAAAGCCCAACGCGACAAAATTGAAAATGTTGCAGGGTCGGTTTGATTGAGCCTGTTCATGGACGGTACTGTCATGTGCAAACTACCGCCCACGTCACCTAGCACCGGCTAAAGCAGAATTCAACATTAAACATGAACTTGTAAAATTAAGAATTTTCAAACATCCGCAGATGTGTTCATATGGCGGTTATCATGGAACCTTTAATGTGACACGTTAGTGCCATTCCATGAAAAGCGGCATATGGTGCCCAAGTAAAAAAAATGCGTGTGCCCTAAAGGAGAAAACAATGGGCGGAACTAAATATAATGGTATTTTGAAAGGGGATCTGAGGTTATGCATATCACAGATATAACGTCAAAAGACAAATTTAAAAAGCAGGCCTCATATCCTAAGGGTGATTCAACATTATTCAAGTGAGGTATACTGGAACCACCCAACAGGAAAGATGCCGAATAGATAGAACTAAAATACCACAAGCACAACAATAATGTCGTGCTGAACGATCTTTAAGGATCGAAAATATAACATCCCTGATTGAATGTACGGGGCGTCTTTTAACAGCCTCCACACGGCACAAACGACGCTGATGTGGCGATAAAAAAAAGTGAAATAAGAATTCCCAAAGAAAGCCCAACTCGACAAAATTGAAAATGTTGCAGGCTCATTAGCGTACATAGGCGTACATAGTAATATATCTGCTATGACCAAACGTTTTATTAAATTTTGACAAATATATTCAAAATTCCAGCATGGAAGATATATGTTTTAATTTTTCCTTCTGTGGTGCCTGCACGAAATTGTTGCTGAACGGTTACAATCCTACTAATAGAGCAACATCATATGTTGTTAAATGTTTAACATGGACCTAATATGTTACAACTATTTCGAGAATCTACCAAACGATTACGGAAACAACATCACTTTACCGTTTATAAATTTTATAAAAAAAAGTTCGTTTGATATATACATTGAAATAGGAAATATATATCAATTTTGAGTGCATTGTTGTAAAATAATTGACGGTTCGATTTCAGGAGTATAATCTCGAAGGCCAATAGACCTTCGTGATTAATAACAAACCATTTAAACCATAAACCATAGAGTTGTCACGAATCTTTAGATATGTTATAAACATTGCTTTTGAACAGAATAGTAAAGCCCTTTATTACATTGATTTATTTCTATATTTAAACGGTCGGTTTTTATTTTGAATTTTCTTACGAATAAACAAAATATTTATTATGAGATCCTTCCTAATACACCAGTAGCAGTGATTAAGATGTTGGCTATGGTCTTTGTCAGTAGTTTAAAAAAGTTTATATCAATGAAATCGATTTTGACATTTTAATTCAAACCATGATAAGGCATTGGAAAAGAAAGCGTCTGATATAGATACATTGCAGAAAGAAGTCAACTCTTGTAGAAGAAACCTGTAAGTCATTTACAAAGAGTTAAATAATGCCAAGTAATTTATACATCTGTCGTTATTAGGACAATTTATTATGTTAAAAAAGAGAACAATGTTTGGTACATGTATAGGCATTAAATGGAAACGGAAACAAAATTATTTTACCGTTTATAAATTTTATTAAAAAAAGTTCGTTTGATATATGTCTATTTATGTACATTCAATTAAATATCAATTTTGAGTGCATTCTTGTAGAATAATGGACGGTTCGAGTTCAGGAATATTATCTTGAAGGCCAATAAACCTTCGTGATTAATAACAAAGCATTTGAATGATAAACAATAAACTTTGTTTCAAAGCTTTAGCCTTATGCTGTTATAAACATTGCTTTTGAACAGGAAAATAACGCCCTTTATTACATTGATTTATTTCTATATTTAAACGGTCGGTTTTTATTTTGAATTTTCTCACGAACAAACAAAATATTTATTATGAGACCCTTCCTAATACATCACAAGCAGAGATTAAAATGTTGGCTTTGGTCTTTGTCAGTAGTTTAAAAAAGTTAAAATCAATAAAATCGTTTTTGTTTTTTTCAGGTCAAACCCTGATGAGGCATTGGAAAAGAAAGCGTCTGAAATAGATGCATTGCAGAAAGAAGTCAAAGACCTTAAAAGTAAACTGTAAGTCAATTACAAAGATTAAATTATAGCCAAGTAGTTTATACATCTGTAGTTATTAGGAAAATTTATTATGTTAAAAAGAGAACAATGTTTGGTACATGTATAGGCATTAAATGAAACCGAAAACAAAATTATTTTACCGTTTATAAATTTTATTTAAAAGTTTGTTTGATATATGTCTATTTATGTACATTCAATTAAATATCAATTTGGAGTGAATTCTTGTAGAATAATTGCCGGTTCGAGTTCAGGAATATTATCTTGAAGGCCAATAGACCTTCGTAATTAATAACAAAGCATTTGCATGATAAACAATAAACTTTGTTTCAAAGCGTTAGCCTTATGCTGTTATAAACATTGCTTTTGAACAGAAAAATAACGCCCTCTATTACATTGATTTATTTCTATATTTAAACGGTCGGTTTTTATTTAAAATTTTCTTACGAATAAACAAAATATTTATTATGAGACCCTTCCCAATACATCAGAAGCAGAGATTAAAATGTTGGCTTTGGTCTTTGTCAGTAGTTTAAATAAGTTAAAATCAATGAAATCGATTTTGTTTTTTTCAGGTCAAACCATGATGAGGCATTGGAAAAGAAAGCGTCTGAGATAGATACAATGCAGAAAGAAGTCAAAGACCTTAGAAGTAAACTGGAAGTCAGTACCGACGACTTACTTATAGCCAAGTAATTTATACATCTGTCGTTATTAGGAAAATTTATTATGTTAAAAAGAGAACAATGTTTGGCATATGTATTGGCATTAAATGGTTAAGCATTTTACATCGAAATGTTTCATTTTAAAACTCAATGTATTTTTTTTTATTTTAAAGAATTAAACAAATAACAATTCTTTAATTGGTAAAGACTGTTGAAATGTATATACATGTGTAGATAAAACAATTTTTCTTATTTAAAAAAAGCATTCTAACGGCGATTCCCTTTCAATACTCTAACGAAAAACAATTTGGTTGTTTTAAATTAAATATGTTTGATGATATTCCTATCGTTTGATATATACATGGCATTTGCATTAGATAAATGCGCCAAAAGTGAAATAATTTAATGATAAAGCAAATCGTCTTTTCAAACATTACAATAAAAGGGCATTGAACAACCAATGTAAACCGTAATTTATGACACCAAGATAATCTACTTCAACTTACCATTTGGCACATTATAATATTGTATTGGACGCTTTATTAGTTTAATCATGCCTATATCCGAAAGCGTTGGGTTTTTTTCAGCAAAGGTATGGAAGAAAAGGAGAAAAAAATTCAAGAAATGATAAAAGAGAAAAGAAACATTGAATCTGAGAAAGCAAACTTAAAATGAATGTGAAAATATCGGGTATCAGATAATAGTGATAACTGCTTTTAATGTTTATTTTATTTTAAATGGTTTTACTTACAGTGCAGAAGTTAACCTTAAAAGAAGCGAGTTACGACGGCTGAAACAGAAATTTGATTTAGATAAGAGGTTTGTCCATTATCCCACTTAAACTACATACACGTTATAATCAGTCTTTAAATAATAATAATCAAAGCTTTTGAACCATAAACCTTGTATTATTATACATAATGCAAGAAACAATAATACATATTTCCATTCTATCATGCTGATAAAAAAGAGAGTTAATAACAAAGCTTTTAACAAGATTCAGCTTAAAAGTGTTTTTCCTGACGTCATTTGGTTTATTGACGTCTTATGTGACATATGATGTGTTAGCATTCCATTTAATGCTGTGCATTTATCGTATAATATTGCACTTAAACACCCTTTTTTGTTATACGGTAATAGTGTGAAGCATGTTAGAATAATATATAGATTTATATACGTATTCTAGAATAAAGAACAATTCATACAGTTTTTCAAATGTCATCTTGCAATCAAAAGCAGAAACTTTCATTGAATACAATTTTCTGCAAAAAAGCAAAATCAGAATTGATAACAACATGATATAAATATCAACATGTATATAATAACACGTTTGAGTTAAATTTGCACTGTATAGTACTGATTTATTTTTCAGTGTATGCAACAGACTGAAACAAGAAAATGCCATTCTCAAACAGTAAGATTGTTTTTTTCCCTAATCTTTTTCGTTTAAGACAGACGTTATTTTACAATATCTGGAATTTTTATATTTTTTTCCTATTAATTTCTAATGTTTTTACTGTTTTAGAAAATATACTCGTATCAAATGTGACAATTGCATTGTAGAAGCTTAATTTCTAATTGCATATATAATACGGTTGAAACTATTTAAGAAATATGACAGTAAAATGTATTTAATATATTATTCATATTAATTTATATTATCTAAAAATAGCTGAAATTTTATTGGTCCAAACCGTAGTCAACATAACAATTAAAAAAATTATATTCACCGAGTGCAGTATCATATCCACTGGATGAATTTGATCTCCCAAATCTAAAAAAAAATTGAGACTTTTATACAATGACCATACATCGTAGACTGTTCATTAAACTTTCGCATAGAATTATTATTGCATTTAGATATTAATGGCATATTTCGCGATTAAAATATCATTACTTTACTGTATCACATATCCGTGCCGTTTTTTGCAACTTCGTAAATATGATATTGCACGGCCGTGCATATATTTTGACGTGACTTCATTTGCGTTATATAAACATAGCATAAAGACGTGCAAAATGTCAGCATTATATTATAGGCGCATGAGTGAAAAATAGTTCTTTTTCACTTCAAACCGTCTTTATTTTTGGTATATGATAAATAGAATATAAATTTGTGTAAGTTCATTACTGAGTTTATTGAACTCGTACAATACATTCAGTATTGAATTTACAATCATTGAATATCCTCTATATACTAATTAAAAGTTACATCTCAATTATGAGTAGCAACATTAATTACTTCTGTTTGCGCAGCGTTTCGTGTAGTCGTTGAATACACCCGACGTCTGTCATTTTTTCCTGCGCTTCAACAAAACAGGCAAAAGTGTTATAAGGCTGTATTTTTGTGATTAAAAGAAATTTTCATAAAATAAAACAATTATTGACTAGTGAGTCATTGAATATAATGAGATATACACCTGCAAAAAGTCATATTGAGGTCGGGTATCGCCTCGGTCAATATGTCATCTGCCGGTGAATATCACATCATATTCAATGGCTCACTAGTAAATGATTGTACAATACGAGCTTATCTGAGGTTAGGTTGAATGTTGTACAATTTTATGAAATAATGATTTCCCTTTTGGTATTGTCTCATTATGTATAGATTGAAAACATTCAAGTATACTTTGGCATAACCTGTATTTTTAAGTTAAATCCGGCTCGTACGTTTTATACAGTGACGTGCCATTTATTTAATTTCGTATTTCAATTCATACTCATATTAATTACACATCTATTTTCATATTTTGCGAAAAAAGTCATATTTATGATAAAATACCATTAAACAATTAAACGATGTTTAATTTTAAATATTGTGTTTGTATCGTTCGACACATATATTTTTAAAATCTCTTTTATAATACATTAATTTCATTACCTTTTTTAACAATCCGTGTATTATTGTCAGATATATATAAATAAACACTTTCCGGGAATATCAACGCATGTTTAAAGTGATATACATGTATAGATAACATTTAATTAAGAAAACGATGTAATTTAAATGCTTAATTCTATTATTATGAAAACGCTTTTATGATGGTTTTGATTATTCATTAAATTTCAATTTAATTTTAATGGGCACATATGAGAGCAATGCACGAGGTTGATCATAAACATTATTTAATCTAAAGCCATACAATTAATGATATTTGAGAAATGTATTGGCAGCCGACCAAAAGACTAAAAATTTGCAAAACGAAGTCAAACGTGTAAACTCTGAAGCGAACTGTTGTAGTATACTACAAACTTTCTTTCTAACGTTTGTAAAACTATATTGTTAAAAAAAACCAGAGACATAATTTGTGATTAAAATATGCTTGAGGACTTTTATAAAACATTCCTGTTGATGTGTTGCGTAATGATATTTTGGATCAAACACATATTCAATTCATGAGAAATCATGTCTTATCAATTGTGAAACAACAAATCAGTCATCCGTAAATGTAACATTTAGAAGGTGATTTTGATTATATAGTTAATTGTAAATCAATATGTTTAGTTTATCTAAAGACTTTCATTACGTTAAATCTCAAATATAACTGAACTTTTTATAAAGGATTTAGAAGAAAATGCGAATGATAACGCTGATAAAAAGGTTTGTGACTGTTTATAAGCTATCTTTAGATCTATTATAAACATTGCATTTAGAAAAGAATAATTACGTCCTTGATTATATTGATATACATTTGTATATTGATAGGTTATTGTTATTTTGATGTTTTTTATTAAAATAATTGATAGATTGATTAATTAAAAACTTTCCTTGTAAGTAATTTTATGAATGGCTTTGTCCATGCTTTGTTTTATGCCCTGTCCTGTTTTTGTTTGGTGTCCTGCTGGGCCCCTTGCCGGTGGTCCTTTGTCTATCGAGAGAACAATTCAGAGCAATGGAAAATGACATTGAAACGATAAAAGAGGAAAACGAAAAACATATTCAATGAAGGATCAGTCAGATATTGGAAAAAAATGTTATTAGTTTTTTCTCTGTCTTAATCATTTACACATTTAAATTAAACATAATTATGATGATCAAATGCATAAATAATAATCTAATTATGACAAAACATAACAATTAAGTATGAAATATATGTATAAGGTTCATAAATTTTCAGAAAACTTTTTATATCGACAAAACAAGGGGCAATATTTGATGATGAAACAAATAACCTTGGTGAAGAACTCAGAAAACACCTTATGAAGCCTAAGTAAGAGATTTTAAAGTATCTTTAATTATTTCAGTATTTCCATGAACAGATCAAACCAGGTTTGCAACATTTTTAATTATTCTGCTCTGAGCTTTCTTTAGGGATTCTGTTTTTCTCTATTTTATTGTCACATCATGGCATTTCTTCAAAATATAGTTTAATGAAAGGGAACAAAACATTCTTGAGCGTCTTTAATACATGTTAACATTTTATGCAATTTTTCTAAAATAGGATTCAATAGCTGTTTGCTGGTGAAATTATTTGAGGTCATGCCCTCTGGTATAGGTAATACTTAATTGAAAAGATAGAATGATAAACCGTACAGCTATGTAAAACAGTAAATGTGTATTTTTGTCAAGTAAGAATACTGTTATATTGAATCAATAATTACACTTTGTGCTTTGTATCTGAACAGTGAGCATATCTAACATCATCGCATGATACTATTTATCTTTCTCCAGGATCAGTTGTAGGCCATGAACTTTCTCCTTTGATCAATATTAGGCCTAATAGAAGATTACATTTGTTTTCTGTACCTTACTTACAAAGATGTGTCTGTATGCTCATTTTCATCTCACCTGACTAAACCTTGACCACTGTGGTCAGGTGAGGTATACTGATGGGGCTATGTCTAGGGTCCGTCGTGTGTTGTCAACATTGGTTGTTTACACTCTATAAGTCACAGTTTTGATTGGATCATAACTAAAAATTGTCAGAATGTTTGTCACAATGAAATACAAGTAAATTTCGAATATGGGTCACCTCGGGTGAAAAACTAAGTTACAGAAGCTAAAAATAGAAAAAGAAAAAGCTTTTTAACACTCTGGGGGATGCAGTTTTGATCGAAATACATGTATCCTGGAAATTTGCAAGCAAGGTTGTTTTGACGATTTCTAGGCCAAGTTTGAATATGGGTCATCTCCGGTCAAAAACTAGGTCACAGAAGCTAAAAATAGAAAAATCTTGTCAGCACTCTAGTGGCTGCAGTTTTGATCCAAATATTCTAAACATTTGACAGGAAAATTTGTTTTGATGATTTCTAGGTCAAGCTTTCTTTGGTCAAAAACTAGGTCACAGTAGCTTTAAATAGAAAAACCTTGTTAGCACTCTAATGGCTGCATTTTTTGTCCAGATATCCTGGAAATGATCAGGAAGGTTGTTTTGATAATTTCTAGGTCAAGTTCGAATAGGGGTCGTCACTGGTCAAAAATTAGGTGAGAAGGGCTAAAAATAGAAAATTCTTGTTAACACTCTAGTGGCTGCAGTTTTGATCCAAATATTTTGAAAATTGGTTAGGAAAAATGTTTTGATGATTTATTGGTAGAGTTCGAATATTGGACTCTGGTCAAAAAACTTATTTACATTCTAGTAATTGAGAAAGATTGTTTTAGGTCAAGTTCGCATATGTGTTGTCTTCGGTCAAAAACTAGGTCACAGGAGCTAAAAATAGAAAAAAAATTTGTTTACACTCTAGTGGCTGCAGTTTTAATCCAAATATCCTGGAAATTGATTAGGAAAATTGTTTTGATGGTTTCTAGGTTAAGTTTGAATATGGGTCGTCTTCGGTCAAAAACTTGGTCACAGGTGCTAAAAACAGAAATATTTTGAAAACACTCTAGTGGCTGCAGTTTTGATCCAAATATCCTGGAAATTGATCAGGAAAAACGTTTTGATGATTTCTAGGCTAAGTTTGAATGTCAAAACTATATCATATGAGCTAAAAATAGAAACATCTTTTTAACACTCTAGTTGCTACTGTTTTACTGTTTTACCCAACCAGCCTTGAAATTGGTCTGAAAGATTGTTTTGATGAGTTTTAGGTCAAGATTGAATATGGGTCACCTAGGGTCAGAAACTAGGTCATACTGCCCAAATATGGAGAAACCTTGTTAATACTCCAATGGGAACATTTTTGATTTAATTGTCATCAAACTTGGTCGGGGTGCTTAGTAAATTGCTTAGAGGAGTTCGAACATGGGTCATTTTTATGTAAAGCTAGGTCACAGGAGCTGGAAAAAGAAATATCTTGTGAACTCTTGTGGCTACTGTTATTATCCAAATATCTTAGAAATTGGTCACACTGTTCAAATATGGATAAACCTTGTTAATACTATATAGGTCACATTTTTGACTCAATTGTCATCAAAATTGGTCAGGACGCTTGTTGGATGATGTTGATGTGTCAGCGGAGCGATTAAGGGCCATCCTGGCCCTCCTGATTTTAATTTTATTGTGTTAAACGTTCTTGTGATTTTTTTTAATTATGG